CGCAACTCGCCCTCCTAGAATATGGTGCTTCCCATCCTACTTGGCAGACAATTAAGAGCTATTTCAGATATTAGCTACAACCTGGTCAGACTTTCTGATCACCAATAAGGGCCCACCAATCTAACCCAAATCTTTTTTGGGAAACAAGCAAAGCAGTACCAAGAGGCAGAATAATCGCTTATACCTTCACCAAAAAAAAAAAAAAAAAAAAACACTCCTTGACAAATTTAAAGAAGCTAGAGAACATTTAAGACAGGCTCAGAGTAATTTGACAGAATCAAATTCTTACAAAAATAGGAAATCATGGCTAGAAGCAAAGCACCACTTCGACACCTGGGCGTAAGCCCAGGAATCTATACCTCAATCCTACCTCGACCTCCAATACCATAAATATGGCAACAAACCGGGCAAACTCTTGGCCCGTCTATGCCGAAAACCCTTCACTCCCACCCAATTTAAAGCTCTGAGGGACTCTCAGGGCTCCCTTAAAAACACACCAGAAGGAATTATATCCATTCTGGAACAATTCTTTGCTCACCTATACAGCCCAGACCCAATAAACATTACACAAGCCAACTCATTTTTGGAACAAATTACCCTTCCACAAATAGATCCCAATGCACTACAATTCCTCAACTCCCCAATAACACAGACGGATATCTCCTCAGCAATCCAATCCTTAGTAAATAACAAAGCCCTTGGCCCTGATGGTTACACTGCAGAGTGCTACAAGCTTACGGCCAAAATTCTTACCCCGACCTTACAATCAGTATTCCACAAAATTCAAGAAGGAGGCGATTACATTCCGCCAGGCTTTCAAGCCCATATCAAATTGATAGAAAAAAAAGGCAAAGATCCCACTGGTCCAGGCTCTTATTGGCAGATCTCCCTCTTGAATCTAGATGCAAAAAATATTATCTAAAATAAAAGCAAACAGACTGGCCACCATTCTACCCTCACTTATCCCAAGCGGGATTCATTCAGGAACAATAGGCCACCTCCAATATACGCAAAGTCCTAACAGTTTTAAACCATGCTAAGCACAACCCACATCAAGATCTAGCCATCATATCCCTTGATGCCAAAAAGGCATTTGACAATGTCAACTTCACCTGGCTTCACTTAGTATTACAGAAATTTGGCTTTGCAGGTCCCTTCACACATACGATCCAAGCGATGTACTCCGCACCGACAGCTCAAGTGATAGCGGCAGGATGCACATCCAACCCTATCCGTCTACACAAGGGGACAAGACAAGGATATCTGCTATCCCATCCACTTTTTAATCTAGCCCTGGAACCATTAGCTCGCTTCTTATTATTTAAATCTCAACTTCATGGAGTTCAAATAGGCCAACAAGAATTGCGTATTGCATTGTTCACAAATGACATATTAATCTTCACCTCCAATCCGGCCCTCGACATAACCTATACGCGATATATTCTCAGATTTTCGCCATTGCTCGGGTCTCCATATAAAAACTTTTCCAAAAGTGAAATACTCCCTTTATACCACGTTCGTACTCCCCCCTCTTGGACCCAGGCCCCGCTTTTTAAACTTGCCAAAAGCCACATCACGTATCTAGGCATAAAGATAGGGAAACTTGCCTCGTCATTGTACACACTGAACTTCACACCAACAATAGATAACATTATAGGGGAATTGGAGATGTGGAAAGATCTGCCCTTATCGCTCCTTGGAAGATCCCACCTCTTTAAGATGGTTAGCTTTCCAAAACATTTATATCCTCTTCAGACCATTCCACTCCTGCTTAGACATGGAGACATAACGAAATTAAATAGAGCAATCTCCAATTTCCTTTGGAAAGGCCGACGCACTCGCATAGCTCTGCACAAACTATTCCTTCCACGGAGCGACGGGGGATCCGAGCTACCCAATATACGAATCTAGAACCTCTCCTGTCTACTACATATCTGCCTAGACTGGTTGACCCAGTCATCCAAGTAATCCAACTATCAACTTGAAACAGCTATGGTCCACCCATACAACCTAACTGCCTTATTGATCTCCAATATAAACTCACTTACATCTCACTTAAAACACAATTTACTTATACGTGACACCCTCATAACATGGAGAGAAGTCAGACGCAAGCTAGGGGTCTCCCAATGGGTATCCCAGTAACTCCCAATTCACAACAATCCTTTTCCTCTCTCGCAACAATATGCTGCATATGCAACTTGGGTCACCCATGATCTCGTAAACGTAATGCAATTGTATGATACTTCCTCTGGCTCTCCTAAGCCTCTACATCATACTTTGCGGAGCTTCAACCTGCCCTCCCATCAGTTATATGTTCTACAAGTACTAAACTTCGTAAAGTCAATTGCTCCAGTTAAAACCACTAGATTTCGCAAATCTCTGATAGACACCCTAGTCTGAAGTCAAAAGTACAAAATATCGAACATCTATACTCCATTAAATCTGTATTATACACGTGCTTTCATTTAAAAATGAGTTCTGGCGTGAACAACAGCTCAAGATTATGCATCGTGCTTACATGCCCTGTGCCTATTCAAAACTCAACCCATCTATATCCCTCTGCCCGCTCTGCGGATGCTATTTACCATTATTACAGCACAGATTCTGGCTCTGCCCTCCCATATCCAACTTTTGGGACCAAGTAAACTGCTTTGCGGCATTCATTACCAATGTCCAAATGACTAAAAACCCACTGCATCTCCTCTTTGACAATTTGGAACAAACTTCTTCTGGCACCCTCTCCTACACAGATCTCATCTCTCCGAAAAAACAAACCATGGTTGACTACCTGTCTGTTGGTTGCGAGAATAGCCATCTTAAAGAAATGGGTCTCAAATTCACCACCATCCATAATTGGACATAAAACAGGATCTTAATTACCTTTTTCGTGCGGACAGACTCGATCTAATATCATCATCTAGCACTCGTAGAGCTGACTCTTACATTCGCAAATGGCACCTTTATATTACCAGAACATTCTCCACGTCTGATCAACAATTTTTTCCTACGGGACTCTAGATTTGATAGTCAAGCTATCAATTCTATTCAAAGCTATACTACTTAATAACATATGGTGGGCGTAAATCACTGATGAGGTTTGCATCTGAACTTCCTTTCCTTATGCTTTCCACTTCTCTGCTCCTCCTGCCTGAGAGTTATGGTTATGTATACTCATATGTCTTTACACAAATTGGTATATATGACTATGTTGACCTTCCACTTGCTCCTTAGACACCAGCTAATGTGTAAGGTAAAGTCTACAGGCTTGGATAAATCCGTATGTAAATGGATAGAAAACTGGCTAAAAGATCGTATTTAAAGAGTAGTGGTTAATGATTCATATTCTGAATGGTCTGGGGTCATCAGTGGTGTACCCCAAGGTTCAGTGTTGGGGACCCTTACTTTTTAATATATTTATAAACGATATAGGGTCTGGGATTAAAAATACCATTTCAGTCTTTGCAGATGACACGAAGCTGTGCAGTGGAATAACGTCCTTACAGGATGTCTTCAATTTACAAGCCGACCTCAATGCACTGTATAATTGGGCAACTATGTGGCAAATGAGGTTTAATGTTGATAAATGTAAGGTTATGCACCTGGGGTGAAGAAATATGCATGCATCATATATACTAGGGGGGTACAACTTGGGGAATCAATGGTGGAGAAGGATCTGGAGGTTCTGGTAGATCACAAGCTTAATAATGGCATGCAATGCCAAGCTGCGTTTCTAAAGCGAGCAAAATCCTCTCTTGTATTAAAAGAGGTATAGACTCCAGAGAAAGATATCATATTACCCCTGTACAAATCGTTAGTAAGACCTCATCTGGAATATGCAGATCAGTTTTGGGCACCAATTCACAAAAAGAACATTGAGGAACATGAGAATGTACAGAGAAGGGCAACCAAACTGATAAGAGGCGTGGAGGAAATCAGCTATGAGGAAAGATTAGAGGAACTGAATGTATTCTCTCTTGAGAAGAGGAGATTAAGGGGGGATATGATCAACATGTATAAATACATCAATGGTTCATATAGTGAACTCTGTGTAGAGCTATTCACCCTGAGGTCATCACAGAGGACAAGGGGGCACTCTTTATGTGTGGAGGAAAATAAATTTATTCTCCAAAACACGGAAAGGTTTCTTCACAGTGAGAGCTGTGAAAATGTGGAATATACTCCCTCAAGAGCTGGTTCCAGCCAGCTCAGTGGATTGCTTCAAAAAAGGCCTGGATTATTTCTTAGATACAAAGAATATAACTGGATACTAACATTTATAGGTAAAAGTTGATCCAGGGAATATCGGATTGCCTCTCGGGTTAGCAGGAAGGATTTTTTTTCCCAGCAGGAGAAAATTGGATCGTGCTTTGCTGGGGTTATTTTGCTTTCCTCTGGATTAACTGTGGGTGTAGGATTATAACTTTTTTCTATGGTTGAACTGGATGGACTATTGTCTTTTTTCAGCCAGACTAACTATGTAACTCTATATTTCATAGTTTGTAAACACTATACCAGTCATGCAAACCATTCAATATACACTTATTGGAATTTTATTTTTAGCAGACATGTAGCAGAATACATTTTGAAAAAAAAAAAGTTTTTCTTCTTCAAAAATTGTTTTTTTCATTTATATAATATAAAACCCAAGGGTGATAAAATACTACGAAAAGAAACCTCTGATTGTGTGAAAAAAAATTATATAAATTTTGTTTAGGTACAGCAGTGCCGAATAGCAACAGCCTAGTCATGAAGGGGGTAAAACCTTCCACAGCTGAAGTGGTAAAGTAGCACTTGCACTTCTTTATAGAGGTAGAGTGGTACTCACACAGATTGGAGTACCTACTTTATAGTATAAACACAGTGTTAAAAGGCGATCCTCAAATAAGAACACCTGCATGAAAATACATTTTGGCCACAATACACCACACTTTGCTATTATACTAAACGCATATAGGATACTTGACTTGCATTCATAAATTGTCACAAGTTGTAGTTACCTTATTCTGCTCTCTTTCTGTTCTGGAATATTCTCCATCACTAAAAGCATCAAGAATACAGTCCACCATCCCATAAGGTTGTTTAGTAACATTCTCCAAGAATTCCTGTATGCTAAAAAATACAAATTAATTTTGAAGATTTAAATATACACTAAATGCTTTGTATAATAAACACAGCCTCATACAATTCTCAATAGGGAAGCATTGAGGATTTTTTGTTAGCATAAATCACAGTTAACAACCAAAGTTATTATAATACCATTTACGTGGAAAGCTATCTAAAATGCAGCTTTTAAAATCATCATAAAATATCATCTATTGTAAAATAAAATACCTCAAAGCCTAACTTCAAGTCGAGATGCCCCTTTACCCACTCCTCCACTGCAGCACAGCTGCAACCTTATAGAAGCAAACATACACTAAGCTCCATATATATTTGGACACAGGCACAATTTTCATACTTTTGGCTCTGTATGCCACCAGAATAAATTAAAATGAAACAATCCAAATGAATAAGAAGTGCAGACTTTCAGCTTTAATTCAAATGGTTGAACATAAATATCAAGTACAAATTTTAGGAGCTGCAACCATTTTTATACACAGTCCCTCCATGTTCAGGGCTCAAAATGTAATTGGACAAAAATATAATCATAAACAAAATGTTCATTTTTAATATTTTGTTGAGAATCATTTACTGGCAATGACTGCCTGAAGTCTGGAACCCATGGACATTACTAAAGACTGGGTTTCCTCCTTTCTGATGCTTTGATAGGCTCTAACTGCAGCTGTCTTCAGTTGTTCTTTGTTTGTGGGTCTTTCTGCCTTTAGTTTTGCCTTCAGCAAGTGAAATGCATGCTCAATGGGGTTGAGATCTGGTGATTGACTCAGCCATTGCAGAATATTCCACTTCTTTTCCTTCAAAAACGCCTGGGTTGCTTTTGCAGGGTAATATACATACCCTCAAATTAAACCTGAGAGTGTGCACCTTCAGCCCATATCCATTATATAACTATAGCTTGAATATGTTTTGGCAAATACCTGAAAAAACTAAAATTGCGTCTGTGTCCAAATATATATACACCCACACCCACACCCCCACACCCACACCCACACCCACCACACAAACACACCTTTTTACCAGTAATCTTGACCTTATTATAAAAATAATATGCATTTTTGCACGGAACATGTATAGGCACCTGTATCTACCTTGTTATGCATATCCTAGAATAATCCTTTACACTGCAGCACCCAGAGCAAATCAGCCTTTGTTTTGCACAGTGCACATGTGAAGATGATAAGAGGTTAAAATAGGCAAATCTAAAATCTGGCATGAAACTGGCATTTTTACAGTAAGCAGCAGCCATGCAGTCAAAGGATATCATTAGAGGTAACATCTTTCAATTGTACCATTTACAAAAAGTATTCCACTTTCTTTGTATTGTAGTCTGCAAGAGGAATGGGGTTGTGGCAAATTAGTGAGGATGAGGTTTCTTCCAACACAACAGTAGCTGGGCTCAACGACAAATCCTTATTTAACTTAAATCGGTATTAAACCCAAAACCTATTACATTGCAGCTTGCCAATCATTGGATGTGGTAGCTGCATCAGTTTTCTTTTTTTTTGGCTTTTTTTCCACTTTTTTTTTTTATTAGTGAGAAACAACTCTGGAGGAATGAGTATAGGAGGCACAGCAGACAAAACAGCATTGTCAGTCTCTGGGGGGGGGAGGGGTTCCTTTTTAGATAAAGGTTTTGAATGCATAAATATTACATTGGATCATTTTAATCATCCCTGCCAGTGGTAAATGGATTTTCTTCTCACCCATGTAAACTGATACATTCTGCTGGAGAGTTTATTTAACAGACTTGCTGGCTGGATTAGCAGATGAATATAGAAGAAAGAAAGACTAAAAAGGGGCCATCACTTCTAAGAATTGGTAAACTGGGTTTAATACTGCTTTAATAGTTGGCTCAAAAGCATACCAAGCACGTAATCTACAATGTGGGGTAAACGTCTAAGTTAAAAAAACTGGGCAGATTTAACTCAGAACAGAGCACAGGCAGTGACAGTTCTGGCCAGGCTGCTCAGCATGAACATGGGCACTGCAATTCCTGAGCTGTGGGGATATTATTTTAGTTTATTTAGGTGGGGGTGTGTGTAGATATTTTGCTAATCCCGACTAAAAGTCAACAAATTTCAATATTTCAAGAAAACCATTGATAAAGCTATTAGTAATAGTAATTTAAAAGAAAATATAACACTGAAATAAAAGAAAAACATAACATATTAAAGCAAGGCTTAAAATTTCAAGTTCTGAGCTACTAGCCAGGCCTTAAGAGTTACTCGCCACCAGTTGCCCATGCAACCCCTACTCTGCTAGACCCCTAATTCCGCCCCTAAACACACCCTCGTAAATTATTTCAGAAAATGAGACTGTTAAATGTTACCCACATTACATCAGGGTCCCCATAGCCTCCCCACATTACATCAGGGCTTCCAATGTCCCCCTAAACACTCCATCATACTTAGACCATGCACTGCATACAACCATAACCCCCCATAATCTTTCACTCACAAAACCATAACTCTACCAAGCATATCCTATCTACTATCCAACCCAGCACTACCTCAAATACCCCATACTCTACCACCCATAATAGCCACATAATCCTGAACCTGACCAAACCACCCATACATGTAGGTTTACATACAGACACACGCACACACAGACATGTATACACACAGACACATGTACGTACATACACACACACACACACACACACACATACCATACACAGACACACACACACACACACACATACATATAAATACACACACAGACACATATATATATATACAAATACACAAACACAGCCCTATAAAAAGTTGCAGTACTCCGTTACCTTCACTCACAGAGCCAGGTACTGCACTCTAGGGGGAGGCAGAGAGCACAGCACACACTCCCTTTGCTTTCACTTTGCTCAACTATTGAGCAGTCTGACGGCTTCCAGTGTGAGTGACAGATCCGGTCCCGAGTTCTGAGCCTGCTCAACAAGACGGCCCTGGGGACACACTCGCCCCCACCATAATTTCCACTCGCCAATGTGAGCAGGCGAGTGGGAATTTCAAGGCCTGTATTAAAGTACTTGCAAACCCCTGCATGTACCCAGTGAAGTGACTAGTCTCTAGCGATACACAACAATGAAACAAATCCTCCTACACAGGGTGGATTTGATTTAAATCACTAGTGAAAAGGCTCAATTTAAATCATAATTTTTAATGAGCAACTGTTATCTCCGTTCCACAGCGACTCCTCCTCTGACCCGCTGTTGACTCACTTTAATAGGACAGCTGGTGATGTGGCAGTGACACAACAAGGTGAGGGACGTGGTGGCAGCAGGTGAGTGGATGCCCGCTAACAGGTGCTGCCATGATGGATCTAAAATGACAGGTGCTCTTTACATGTAAGGAATCCGACTCATTCTTGCTTGTAGTTGGAATCTTTAACCACCTCCCGCCCGTCATATAGTGATACGACGGACGCAAGGTGGTTCTTTCGTTCTGGGAGAACGTCATATGATGTCCTCCCATTCTCACTGCGCATGCACGGCTCAGGTAGCGCGGCCATCTGCGGTGCGCTGTGTCCCTCGGACACAGCGGATCACGATCATGGAAAGAGCCGAAGATGTCGGCTCGGTCATGTGATCAGCTGTGTCCAATCACAGCTGATCACATGTAAAACAGGGAAATGCCGGTTATCGACATTTCTCTCCTCTCGAGCTGTCATGTTGACAGCTCGAGAGGAGAGGAGAGCCGGTAATCGGCTTTCCGTGGAGGGGGCATGTACACTGATCATCAGGGCACTGATGATCAGTGTGTCCTGATGATCAGTGTAGCCCCAGCAGTGCCACTTGTCAGTGTCCATCAGTGCCTTGTGTCAGTGCTCATCAGTGCCTTGTGCCAGTGCCCATCAATACCACATATCAATTCCTATGTGAGCTGCCTCAGTGCCGCCTAACAGTGCCATGTATCAGTGCCCATCAGTGCCACCTACCAATGCCTCATCAGTGCCACCTATCAGTGCCCATCAGTGCAGCCTCATTAGCGCACATCAGGGAAGGAAAAAAATTACTTATTTTACAAAATTTTCAGTGGTTTTTGGTTGAAGAAAAAATAAAAAACTCAGAGGTGATTAAATACCACTAAAATAAAGCTCTGTCACAAAAAAAATAACAATTTCATATGGGTACAGTGTTGCATGACCACGCAACTGTCACTCAAAGTGCGACAGTGCTGAAAGCTGGAAATTGGCCTGGGCAGGAAGGGGGTATAAGTGCCCTGTAAGCTTGTGGTTAAATATTTGCAAACTAAATGAAGGTTTCTTTTTTAGAATACTACGCTGTCAGGTTAGTAAAACAGCGATATCAGAACCGATTTTAGGTTAATAGGTTAATCACATGTAGCTGGAAAACTACTCAAATTCTTTTATTTCATGTTTTTTCTAATGGTTACTGTGAAATTGTGTGAATGCATCAATGCAATGCATGTTATCTCAGCTTGCATTCATTGAATGAGTTCACCAAAAATGTAAAAATTGCAGAATATACAGCCTCATGCTACATAACTAAGCTCCATTCATGCTTCATGCTGAATAAACTAAAATTATTAAAGTGTCTTAAATAGATTTTTATGCCAAAAGCATTTAATTAAAATAAATTTGACAAAAAAAAAAAAAAAAAAAATCTGATTTAAATAAAGAAAAATCATTGATTTTTATCCACCCTGCTCCTACATAAGTTGTAACTGTTTATCTGTAGCCATTTGTCCTGTACAGGCTTATAAATAAAAAGAGATAAAAAGAGATTTTCACAGAAGCACAAAGCAGGGTGTAGGGAGCTGAATGTACAAACTACACAACTTCGTGAGGAGTGTTCTGAGATTTGATAAGAGGGGAGGGGAGGGGAGGGAAGGGACACCCCCCCCCCCCCCTCCAAACAGCACACAGGAACATACAGAAATGAGGATATCAATCACAGGCTGTGTGCTGGAGTTCCCTCCTCATCACCTTTTTAATCTCTTGCAGTGGGGAAAATCTGTCACAAAGGATTAATGCAGACAGCAGAGAGAAATTACTCACAGTGCTTTGGAATGAGACAAGTAAACACTATTGAACGATGTGCTTTGTTCATATTTCACGTCAGAGGTTTTCAACCACTTTAAGAGTGGTATGTAGCTATAAAATAAATATGTGCCTGGAATCGGATGTAAATTTGATCAACTTTCTGCTTGTACTAGGTAACTTGCCCTTGGCAGTGTAGAATAAAGAAAAAAAAATAAAATGCTAAAGGAATCTGTCAGTTAAAGTGACCCTGCCACTACAGGGTTTAAGCCACTCTTAAAAAAAAGAATACATTAAAATAAAAAAAAGGCATCATACATACCTGTTTCTGAAAAGGCAGCTGCATGGTAGAGCCCTGGCCACTGCAGGTATCCGAAATGCATAGGTGTGTCAAATACCTGCCCCATCGACTCCTATATCATAATACTAGACACCAGCTGGCCATGGCACCACCTGCCTGGAGTTTGCATGTTCTCCCTGTGCCTGCGTGGGTTTCCTCCGGTTTCCTCCCACACTCCAAAGACATGCAGGTAGGTTAATTATATCCTGTCTAAATTGTCCCTAGTATGTGTGAATGTAAGTTAGGGACCTTAGATTGTACACCCCTTGAGGGTTAGGGACTGATGTGAATGTACAATATATATGTAAAGCGCTGCGTAAATTAACAGCGCTATATAAGTACCTGAAATAAATAAAGATCATAGCACCCATTTTATATGAAAGATATTGATGGACAACTACGGCTGGTGTTTATGGTAATGGAGCATTTGTCAACTGAATCAACACACTTTACAAAACTACATGAGAGCAAATGTCCACCGATTACAATAGCAAAAGGAAGCATTATAGCAGCTGTCTACTGACTGCAATGTAACTAATGAGAGATGGGTGATCCATGGGGAAAGAAAAAAAAAAACCAAAAAACCAAACCAACTCTCTCAACCAATAGCACTTTTGATCCATTTTGTGTACGCTATTATATTAAATCTACTTCCCTGCCTACCTAATCAAAATACCAATAACAGCAAATGACAAGTACATTATTTGGAAACTGATATACACATACAGACAGGAGATAACTTTGCTGCTGTACCTGAAGGTCCCCTGAAGACTTGGATCTTCTCCATACATTGTGTAAATTATATCTGAATCATCTTTGCCAATGTTCGCAAAGGTCGAGTCATAGGATGGTGCGTAAGAGGTGAATGGTCCATAGTTCAAGTATAACACTGCAAATAAATCACACAGGATTTGCATCATTATACACCTTTTCATGCCATATTATTATTATACAGTATTTATAAAGAGCCAATAGTTTGCTCAGCGCTGTACATTACAAAGGGGGACAGAACATGTGACAGACCAATACAATGCAAAACATGAGGGGATCGAGGGCCCTGCTCTTTCGGGCTTGCAATCTATGAGGGAGGGGATAGTGGTACAGAAGGAGATAGCTGTGGGGGGATGGAGTGGTAGGAAGAGTGGAGGAGGTCGGCAAGTTAGCAGGGGGTGGGACAGGCTCCCCTGAAGAGGTGGGTTTTCAGGGTGCGCCTAAAGGAGAGGAGAGTAGGTGATAATCTGATGCGTTGGGGTGGGGAGTTCCAGAGGATGGGTGACACCCTGGAGAAGTCCTGGAGGTGGGCATTGGAGGAGGAGACCAGGGATATTGGATATTTACAGCTACGTCCACAATATCCTTCACACTGAATACATATTATGCATGAATAGAAGACCAAGTGGTAGATTTTCAAATCTAAGATACAAATGCCCGCTGCCAAAAGGCTCAAGAAACGCCAACAGTGTGCCTTGACAGGAAGGGGTGGAGCCTTAGCCTTAGGCCTGTAAGATGATCTACAGTGGGGCAAAAAAGTATTTAGTCAGCCACCAATTGTGCAAGTTCTCTCACTTAAAAAGATGAGAGAGGCCTGTAAATGGCATCATAGGTAGACCTCAACTATGAGAGACAAAATGAGAAAAAAAAAAATCCAGACAATCACATTGGCTGATTTGAAAATAATTTATTTGCAAATTATGGTGGAAAATAAGTATTTGGTCACCTACAAACAAGCAAGATTTCTGGCTCTCACAGACCTGTACCTTCTTCTTTAAGAGGCTCCTCTGTCCTGCACTCATTACCTGTATCAATGGCACCTGTTTGAACTTGTTATCAGTATAAAAGACACCTGTCCACAACCTCAAACAGTCACACTCCAAACTCCACTATGGTGAAGACCAAAGAGCTGTCAAAGGACACCAGAAACAAAATTGTAGACCTGCACCAGGCTGGGAAGACTGAATCTGCCATAGGCAAGCAGCTTGGTGTGAATAAATCAACTGTGGGAGCAATAATTAGAAAATGGAAGACATACAAGACCACTGATAATCTCCCTCAATCTGGGGCTCCACGCAAGATCCCACCCCGTGGGGTCAAAATGATCACAAGAACAGAGAGCAAAAATCCCAGGACCACACGGGGGGACCTAGTGAATGACCTGCAGAGAGCTGGGACAAACGTAACACTGTGCTGTCAGGGACTCAGATCCTGCAGTGCCAGACGTGTCCCCCTGCTTAAGACAGTACATCTGAAGTTTGCTAGAGAGCATTTGGATGATCCAGAAGAGGATTGGGAGAATGTCATATGGTCAGATGAAACCAAAATAGAACTGTTTGGTAAAAACACAACTCGTCGTGTTTGGAGGAGAGAGAATGCTGAGTTGCATCCAAAGAACACCATACCTACTGTGAAGCATGGGGATGGCAACATCATGCTTTGTGGCTGTTTCTCCGCAAAGGGACCAGGACGACTGATCCATGTACAGGACAGAATGAATGGGGCCATGTATCGTGAGATTTAAGTGCAAACCTCCTTCCATCAGCAAGGGCATTGAAGATGAAACGTGGCTGGGTCTTCCAACATGACAATGATCCCAAACATACCGCCCGGGCAATGAAGGAGTGGCTTCGTAAGAAGCATTTCAAGGTACTGGAGTGGCCTAGCCAGTCTCCAGATCTCAACCCCATAGAAAACTTTTGGAGGGAGTTGAAAGTCCGTGTTGCCCAGCGACAGCCCCAAAACATCACTGCTCTAGAGGAGATCTGCATGGAGGAATGGGCCAACATACCAGCAACAGTGTGTGCCAACCTTGTGAAGACTTACAGGAAACGTTTGACCTCTGTCATTGCAAACAAAGGATATATAACAAAGTATTGAGATGAAATTTTGATATTGACCAAATACTTGTTTTCCACCATAATTTGCAAATAAATTCTTTCCAAATCAGCCAATGTGATTGTCTGGATTTTTTTTCTCATTTTGTCTCTCATAGTTGAGGTCTACCTATGATGCCAATTACAGGCCTCTCTCATCTTTTTAAGTGGGAGAACTTGCACAATTGGTGGCTGACTAAATACGTTTTTGCCCTATTGTATTAGAGCCACCAAGAAATGGTGGAATACACATGAACAGCTCTAACCAAATCCAAGCAATGAAGAGAAATCTCGAGATGCACCGATGTCTGACAGATGGACAGAAATGCATGGTTCTGGTTAAAGCGTTATTAAAACCAAAAATGTAATATATTGCAGCTTACCAATCATTAGTGACTGCATTAGTTTCCCTTTTTTTTTAGGCTTCCCCCCTCTGTTTTCACCTGGTGATCTGGCCACTTCCTGTATTAGAGTGCCCCCACTCTGGATGAATGAGCACAGGCGTGCCTTTGGACAGCAGCATTGTTAACCTGGGAAGGGGGGGGGGGGGGGGGGTAGTGTTAGATATTCTAGCAGATTTAGATAAATTAACAAATTGCCACATTTGCAGGAGAGCTTGTTCTGTTGAAAAAAATAACAGACTACCTGACAAGATCATAAAGGAAAAATGCAGCCACTACATCTGGTAAGCTGTAATAGAATAAATGTTTGCTTTAGAGTTTAAGGTGAAAGGTAGAAATCACATTAGGTAAAAAGGAGACTCAGGGTACACAAAGACAATCTTGTTTTTGTGTTAAATAAGAAAAGGTTCTGTACAAATGGGGTCACTAATTCAGAAACACGTCTTGCAGAGGTAAATGGCAAATGGGAAGGAGACCTTGTGAGTGAGAGCTGACAGCGGAAAATTCCTGATAGGTTCAAAAAGAGGCCTTTAAAAGAGCCACAAGATCCAGGTTCAGATCCCAAAGAGTTACTATTGGTTGTTCAGGTGGTACTATATGTGGCACCTTGTACAAAAGGCTTTTACTAAGTAAGAAGAAACAAGTGGATTTTGGAACAGGATCACAAATGCTGAGATTTGGACCTTAACTGGTACTCAGGGCAAGATACTGCAAGCGATGAGTCAGTTCCAGCGTTGAGTTCAGAAAGTTAAGAAACCAAACAAACCTTTGTAGATTCTAGACAGTCTGCCAATAACTGTCTAACAAGGTACATACCAACTGTACTTTCAACTAGAGGTTGTTAGGGGTATCCTACTTTGTGAATGCCCTGAAAAAGTGCAGGAAGGTTAGCATTGGGGTGAGCACAGAAGACAAACAAAACAAAAAGGTCACAAATTGGTAGCGTTGATGTGTTGGATAAATTGGGACATGTAAGCAGGCATCCTAGATGTCTACAGAAGCACAAATAACTGACAAAAGGGAAACTATGACAGACTTGGTGGAATCTATGCGAGATTTTTGAATTCCATTGATGACAATGCATTGCGAATGCCACCTTTGGCTTTGGGGATGGTGAAGAGGTTTGAGTAAAAACCTTGAAACCTTTTTATGAAACAATGGTAATGACTTCTTTACTTAGGAGGTCTGCCAGAGCAACATGGAGATCCGTGAGAGGCTGGCATCTTTAAAAACAATGTTTAGTCATTCTCTATAGCTTTAATGAGCTAACTTGCCTGTAATGAAGGATGTCCTTTGTTGTGCAGACAACTGGATCCTGCAGAAATCTTTACTGCAGAGATATCCCTGCTTCTGTTCCTGAACTTCCTGTGTTGCAGGGGTTAATTGCTTTGGGTCTTTGAAGCTACTGTGAAAAAAAAGTTCTTGAGGAAGACTTGCTCTCTGTGAATGGGGGAAAAAAAATCCTTTAACTTTTCAGACTCTCCCCCATTCACTGAGTCTTCCTCAGGAACGTTTTTCATAGCAGCTTCAAAGAAGACCCAAAGTGATTAACCCCTGCAACACAGAAAGTTCAGGAACAGAAGCAGGGATATCTCTGGAGTGGAGATTTCTGCAGGATCCAGATCATGTTACAGGCAGTAAAAGCAATAAAAACATTTCTCAATGTAGGAAAAGGAAGGGAGGGGGTGGGTCTTCGCCAGGAACTTTTTCACAGCAGCTTCATAGAGGACCTGAAGCTATTAACCCCTCAAATTTTAGCAGGTTTTATGGCCAAACTTTAGCTTTAGACTCAGGAGCAATATCAGCACTCTGAGGCTACTCACGTAAAAAATCATCCAATATGGATTTATATCACGCCTCAAAGAGAACATCCACAGTCGAGTGTCCTAAATTCTAGGAGAACTGTAGTAAACTCCTCCCTGAATAATGCAGAGGAGGGGGCCACACCTGAGGAAGCTAAAAAAAGACTTCAAGGAGTTTGTGGACTCAAGCAGTGGACAACAATCCAGGCTATGGGTGTCAGATTCTTGACACAAAGTAAAACCAAACTGACAGCCAGTTCCAGTGAATTTGCTGGTATAGCCACTGTAGCAAATAATACATACCCAACAAAAGTGAACTGTGGTCAAAACAGAACATTTTTAACAATTAACTTCAAAAACTTACAAAAAAATATGCCATTTACCTGGAGTGACTTTGTTGCGTTTATCTTCCTTGAATCCTTGCAAGCAATTTACCCCCGTTTGCAGCCGGCCAGCTGTGGACCCAAGAATAGCAGTTCCATGTCCTGGTTCTAAACAAAAGGGTTTCACAATCAAGTAAAAAATGTTAGTGTTGAACAGAATTGCACTATCTAGAAAACGACTGGTCTTGCAAGCAAACTTAAATGTCCCACTGTAATATAAACATATGTTTGTTTCAAATAAAAAAAAAAAGTACACTGAACCTTTACTCATTTTACAACCTAGAGCTGCTCTTTTCTTTCCCTTATCAGGACACATTGAAGAAAAAACAAAACCACCCCCCCTCCCTCCCCCCCCCCCCCCCCCCCCCCCCCCCCAGATATCAAGGCAAAGGTAGCATTACTATCCTTCCTGTGAGAACCCAGGGAATTGCACAGAGCTGGGGTGTAAACCTGCAAGATTCTGGATACTTAGAAATTCCCAGGAATCTCGTGGACAGATGGTGACCTTCCCTACGGCACAGAAGCTGAGGCAAGGCAAGTATATTTAAAGCTGAACTCCAGGAATTCAGCAACTTTGTTAAAAGTGCAGGCATACTATGGCTTAAGTCCTGAGCTCCTATGACTTAAGTCCTGAGCTCCAGATGCTGGACGCTCTGGTCTCTGTTCCTTGCAGTGTAGAGTCGATGCAACTGCTATGCCTGCCCTCATCCTGCCCAATCACAGAAGCCTTTGTAATATGTGAATGGATTCACAAAATACAAAGGCTTCTGTGAATTGGCAGCAGAGGGGAGGGGCAGGCATAACCATTGTGTGTGCTTCTCCCCTCTCACAGTCCCAGTGTCTCCAGGAGCTCAATAAGCCTGTTGGATATAAGTAGAGATAAGTCCAGGAGCTGGCAGGCACTTCGCTGGACTCATACTATGCCTGCACTTTTTGTAAAGTTTCCTGGAATTCAGCTTAATAACATTTTCCTACAAGTTCTTATTTTTTACATGCATGGTGCCATTTTAAAAATGGAGATGGAGCCCTAATATATTAAGCTGACCTTACTGCAAGGTTAGCTTTAAAGCTTCTTTGTACATGTTTTGCAGTTTCTACTCAACTCCTATCATACAATTCCTGTTGTCTACAAAGCTAAAACTTCTTATGTAGGTATAAAAGTGATTAATTCCCACTCCTCCTCCATATGTCTCCATGGTATTAGTGCAAGCCTTAGTTCCTGCAAAGAGATAAACTGCTGCTTTTTTTTTTTTAGAAAATATACAAAAGTCTCTTTCCCAGCCTCATCTGCACTGTACTTGAATGAATAGAAGTCTGTATAGAAACTCCTATTTGTTTACTAAACGATAGTAAACACTGTTTACAATGCTTCATCCACAAACTGAAGCATAGTAATCAAAGTTTACTATACTTTAGTTATGAATGGGCACAGGTGCGATCGGTACCAAGTGCTGACCGTGTTCACTCCGGAACGAAAAGGTGGCTGGTAAACACAGCTCCCCTGCTCTCCATCCTGACACTGAAGGTGAGGGACCACCTGGGATCGGTGAGGAAGGAGGGGGGAGAGACACTGAAAAGGGAGGGGGGGTTTGGGCTAAAGCAGGGGCAGGGGGGCAATTATAAACAAATATGTGCAGCGCTAAAATGTTGTGAGCCAATAAAAATCAATTAATATCAATAGAAAGTCCCAATATGATAGTGACAGGATGCTTCTTATGTTATGGTGACACTGGACCCGGTATCAGTGCAAAAATGGTAAGGTATGCGCACTCAATGCGCACTCACCAGACGCGCATAATATTTGCGCCTTGTAATAATAATGCAGATGTCATCAGGTAGAGAACCGGTTTGGAGATGGTCTTCCCTCTATGGGTTTAATGGGTCATCACATAGGATAATAAGAGGCTGACGAAGACACTCTTCGTCCACTAGCTGTCTCTCTCTCCCGTAGGTGTCTCTCAGGATGTACGAGTATCCTCTAGGAAGTACTGGTCCGTCCCTGGTATAGTAGGTCTGCAGGCTTAAAAAGCTCCCCCAAGGGGTAGGGACAAAGGTACTTCCATAGTGTAGTGAGTGTGATAAAACAACTTTATTGTGATGCATCAAAGTATAATACAGCAGATAGGAATCAGTGAAGACTAACCATCTGATATTCTAAGATGGCTGCCAGAGCTCCACATTGCTCCGGCGGCGTGACGTCACGGTGTGATGTGGCTCCTCCTAACGCGCATCGTGCTCAAACAACATGATATTATTATATCTAAAATTTGAGATAGTAAGGTATTTAGTTTGGATTTTATGATTGATTTGGGGCTGATATAATATACTTAAGAATTATTTTATTTTTGTTTGGATTTTTATGGGGGGTAATATGATATATTTTATGGGGGGGGGGGGGGGGGGGGGGGGGGGGGGGGGTGTCACCATTCACACCGTATCATCTGCCGCTCATATTTATAGGAAATTCCACACATGCGCATATAGCGGCGGCCATATTAGAGTAGCGCAGATAGTACTGTGCAGGCGCGAAAATTCCGGCGCCATTTTCCTATGGCCTTTTCTAGTAAAACATTAAAGGAATGTCTGCATAGGGAATGCAGGATCTTGCGCACGCATCCAGGCTGCAGCGCCATTTTCTCATGGTCTTCCATAGAGAAACAGTAAGACTAAATATAAAGAAGAAAAAGATAAAGTAGTGGGATGCGCGCGCATCTCAGCTCCACCACAATTTTCCAATGGTTTAGTGAATGCCTATTAGTTAGAACAGGCTATAACGTCTGAACTAAATTAGCATGACATATCCAACCAGTGATATCGTCACTATATAGGCATAAAAACAAATCTATAAAAAGATTAAATATAAATGATTGGTGGTATACAAGAGTTCTAATTGGAAAGAATAGAACCCATAAATAAAATTAAAATAATATAAATGCGCATGTGTGGAATTGCCACTAGTGTCATAAATGATACCAATAGGGACATGAGTCCCAATGTGGGGATATTATTACTCTCTCATAATAATAATCATCAATTTTATAAATAATTCATATTATGACTACATGTGATAAACATTAAAGTTCAATATGATGAACCTTCATATATTTAAAATAGTGGTAACAAGTACCATAAAAACATTACTAAAAAAGCTTCTTTAAAATTAATGACAGTATAAATACATATATCCCAATATTAATGTTCACGAAATAGGGTGTAAAAAAATTGTTCACATTATGCCTAATGATCAAACGGTATAATATCGTAATATCCATAGTGATCTAGCTACAATCACACGTTTATATAAAAGGATAAAAAATAGGAAAAATTGGAAGAAAATTGGAATGAACCCAACACAGATATTGCCACAAAAACCAGAGATAGTCTTCCGCAAGGCTACCAGCTTGCGACATTTTCTAGCACCAAATGTAATTATCCCTCCAGAGGACATTTCCCTCTTTAAAGATTTAAAAGGATTCCATCCATGCAACAAATGTATGATTTGCACATGCGAAAGAAGTAGGAAGCACAAACAAACCACATTTATGTCACAAGTTACTGGGAAGACCTACAACATAGAGAAATTCATTACTTGCAACAGTAAGTTTGTGGTGTATTTACTGGAGTGTCCCTGTAAACTTCAGTATATTGGTCGCACTACTAGGCGACTCAGAGACAGATTGTGGGAACACGTTAATATCAAACATGGATACAAGGAGCATTCACTGTCGAACCATTATAAACGGATTCACAATATTGATCCAACATCCCTAAAGTTTATAGGCATTGATTTGATTAAACCTCACTGAAGGGGAATACACAAAAGGAGGGCTGTATCTCAACTCGAGATGAAATGGATCTACGAACTCCATTCCCTACACCCCAATGGCCTGAACATCGAGGTCGATATTAACTGTTTTATCGATAACAGCTGAGGCTCATCAAATCATTATCCACTGTGGGCACCTTGAAATACTTATGGCACACTGATTATCTGTTCAGGCCATAATGGGTTCATTCCGATTTAATTTCAATTTTATTCTGATTTTCTTCCAATTTTTTTCTTTTTTTTTATCCTTTTATATAAACGTGTGATTGTAGCTAGATCACTATGGATATTACGATATTATACCGTTTGATCATTAGGCATAATGTGACCAATTTTTTACACCCTATTTCGTGAACATTAATATTGGGATATATGTATTTATACTGTCATTAATTTTAAAGAAGCTTTTTTAGTAATGTTTTTTATGGTACTTGTTACCACTATTTTTTATATATATGAAGGTTCATCATATTGAACTATAATGTTTATCACATGTAGTCGTAATATGAATTATTTATAAAATTGAGGATTATTATTATGAGAGAGTAATAATATCCCCACTTTGGGACTCATGTCCCTATTGGTATCATTTATAACACTAGTGGCAATTCCACACATGCGCATTTATTTTAATTTTATTTATGGGTTCTATTCTTTCCAATTAGAACTCTTGTATACCACCAATCATTTATATTTAATCTTTTTATATATTTATTTTTATGCCTATATAGTGACGATATGTCACTGCTAATTTAGTTCAGACGTTATAGTCTGTTCTAATAGGCATTCACTAAACCATTGGAAAATTGTGGTGGAGCTGAGATGCGCGCGCATCCCACTACTTTATCTTTTTCTTCTTTATATTTAGTCTGTTTCTCTATGGAAGACCATGAGAAAATGGCGCCGCAGCCTGGATGCGTGCGCAAGATACTGCATTCCCTATGCAGACATTCCTTTAATGTTTTACTAGAAAAGGCCATAGGAAAATGGCGTCGGGATTTTCGCGCCTGGGCAGTACTATCTGCGCTACTCCAATATGGCCGCCGCGATATGCGCACGTGCGGAATTTCCTATAAATACGAGCAGCAGACGATACGGTGTGAATGGCGACCCCCCCTCTGAGGACGTGTTTGAGCACGATACGCGTTAGGAGGAGCCACATCACGCCGTGACGTCACGCCGCCGGAACAACGTGGAGCTCTGGTGGCCATCTTAGAATATCAGATGGTTAGTCTTCACTGAATCCTATCTGCTGTATTATACTTTGATGCATCACAATAAAGTTGTTTTATCACACTTACTACACTATGGAAGTACCTTTGTCCCTACCCCTTGGGGGAGCTTTTTAAGCCTGCAAACCCACTATACCAGGGACGGACCAGTACTTCCTAGAGGATACTCATACATCCTGAGAGACACCTACGGGAGAGAGAGACAGCTAGTGGATGAAGAGTGTCTTCGTCAGCCTCTTATTATCCTATGTGATGACCCATTAGCCCATAGAGGGAAGACCATCTCCAAACCGGTTCTCTACCTGATGACATCTGGATTATTATTACAAGGCGCAAATATTATGCGCGTCTGGTGAGTGCGCATTACCTTACCTTACCATTTTTGCACTGATACTGGGTCCAGTGTCACCATAACATAAGAAGCATCCTGTCACTATCATATTGGGACTATTGATATTAATTTTATTGATTTTTATTGGCTCACAACATTTTAGCGCTGCACATATTTGTTTACTGTTGTCAGTTTTGAAGTGTCTTATTGGTTACCTTTCTGTTCATGGTCGCTTTTACCTTTATTATTTCTTTGGCGCTCACTATTTCTCTTTCATAGGGGGGCAATTATGTACATATTTTTAGCCTGTGGCTCCCACCATGCAATTGCCGGCAGAGGAGGGAAGCCGGAAATTACATTGGAGCCACAGGGGATCTGTGTTGGCAGTGTTTGGGGGGAAATTGGTGTTTCGGGGGATAAGTGAAGGACAGCAAGAAGGGGGGGGGGGGGCATTTTAGTGACCAGTGCAGCAGGGATGTGATGGGGCAGGAAACAAAGGGAGAGAGGGCAGAGAAGCGGCAGTGGGTGGATTCACATTTTAGGTAAAGAGCTGATTAGTGGCTTCTTAGCCATTGGTTTGTTCAGCAGAGGCTGCTAGCGTGTACAGACCTGGGCAGCTGGAAGCCGTGCTGTAGGTAGATACGGGCCTGGGCAGCTGGAAGTGGAGCTACTGTAGGTCCATATGGTTGAGCCAAAAAAGTGATACAGACCGACCCATCCTCCTGTAATGGATCACTAGTTGAAAGTGTAATTAAAGACAAACTTTTTTTTCATTTTGTATAGAGTAAGGGATGGTTATAACCCCAGTCAGGGTTTTTTTTTTTTTTTTTTTGCCATTTGTGTCCCATTGGAAAGATCTCCCTTCACTTGCTGTCCCACAGCCAAAACAGGAAGTGAGAGAAAATCTGTCCAAAGTGAGGGAATCTGGATGTGTTACCAGAACTAGTGTCCACACTGGAAGTTTTTCCTCTCTCTTAGTGTTTTGATGTCAACCCCCAATTTTGGATTTTCTTTTACTTTCACTTTTAATGAGAATAGAAAAGGACAAATAGGGTGAATTTCCCTAACAAGGGGCACAGACAGCAATAAAAAGGTGGAGTTAGCCTTTAAATCAGTATTAAACCCAAACACAAAAATGGAATATATTGCAACTTACCATTTCTTGGATATGTGGCCAGCATTATTTTTTTTTTTAGGCTTTTTTCCTTTCATCTAATCCAGCAAGTATTATTTTTCAACTTACTTTCAACCAGCCAAGCTGTCCAGCAAAAGGGAAGGTGTGCAGTAAAAGTGTGCCTTTGGTTCCGCTTTATCAATGAAAGGTGCTTACAGTGGTTAGCTTTTATTCATTTATATAAAACCTTTATCTCAAAATGAAAAAAATAAATAAAGGTTTGCTGTAACTGCTTAAAAAGTGTAAACTGGAGTTTAGCTTTAATTTTTTGTAGTCAAGTCCATCCAAATCTGCTAGTGCATCTAACACTAATTTCTCCCCAGACTGACAATGTTGCTGTCCAAAGGTGTCTCTGCTTTTCCTCTATCCAGAGTGGAGACAATCAAAGACAGGAAGAGAGTTAATGGCTGTATCAGCAAGTGAAAAAAGGAAGAAAAGCCTGAAAAAGAAATACAGAAAATAAGGCGCATGGAACTTGGTTAAAGGTGAAGGGTATCAAGTGAAAGGAAGCCCAATGCAGATTGCTTAAGAAAAGTCCATCCACTTGGCAGGGTGAAGAGCAGAAGCTGGCTCCAAGATAATGCAGAGAAAAACACGGCGTCCCTGTTAAGCCTAATCTCTGCTTTACGATTATTAAATTGTCTACAAGTCTACACTTTGAGGCGCTGTGTCTTTTTTCTAAGCCTGAAAAAGTAAAACGAATGCAGCTACCACTTTTAAAAGATTAGTAAACTGCAACATATTCAAGGTTTGTTTTGGGGTTTAAATAGCACTTTAGATTCACTATACACAATTAATGGTCCTTTGCATCCTACTATTAGAAAGTTATCAGCTGAAAACACACTCCACACTGAAGTCTAGAAATTATGAAGGAGAGATGACTGAAGCCCTGCTTTAGAACTGTAATTAGTTTACTCCAATCCACGAATACATGAGTCTCCCCAAATATCATAATTTATACAGTTAACAATGGATGTTATTACTAAGAAACATTTTTTTTTTGCCAACTACATACCCAATGCTGTGCCTCCAGGGTTCAGAAGGGCCAAAGTTGTAGTTCCATCTTGCTTTCTTCTCTCAAACTCTAGCTGTAATGATTTATGTAGCAGATATAAGAAGTGCCACAGAAAATGCAAAATAAATCAAATAATAAGCAGCCCACTTGCTATGGGGGCACACCTGCAGGCTAGCTCCTGAGCTGCCCTGCCCGTTTACATTGACACAGACAGTGCGGATTGGCCCTGTCACAGATCCCTCCTCACACCATTGGGATGACAGCAGCAGGAGCCAATGGCTTCTGCTGCTTGAGTCACTGTGAGAAGAGGAAGAGAAGGGAGAAAAGACTACAACTGGGCACAGTTTTTCACATTAATACAGGAAATGCATTAAGGTAAAAAAACACCCAACCTTTAGAACCACTTTAAGTATTCACCTTGGCCTTGTTCACTACAAATACTTTCACTAGATTTTGGCTCAGCCTATAAGTAATGAAACTCAGAAAGTGATCCTGTTTATATATAAAGAAAAAAGAATTCAACCAGAACTGCTCTGTAACAGAAGAACTAGTCTGCCAAATATGTACGTATTCAACATATTTTATTTATTTTAAACAGGGGGCGAATGGTTTGCATTTATATTAATTTATACTAGCAACAGCTTAGTTTTAATCATTGACTATAGGTAAAAGAACTGTGTGTTCTTAAACTACACAGCATTTCACACATACTAATTGGACAATTTTGTCATTTATTAGGCTTGAGTTCATGAAGATCAAACTTTAATTTGTGTAGATCATTACATGTACTCTTGAAGCGGTTACTTCTCACCTTACTGTTAGCTGCTCTTTTTGTTAGTTTTCCAAAAGAATCTCTGATTATTTGGTCGATCTGTTCCTGTTCTTTTTCTAAAGCTCCTTCATTTATCCTCTGCTTGTCTTCTGACTGATCCTTATCCTTTCTGTGAAAATAAAAAAAAGGTCATAAAAAGGAACCATACAAGAGTGCTGATTTTAAGGCAGTGCTGCTCATGCTGCTCACAGAAGTAGGGAAAACAAAAGCAAGCAGTAGGCGCATTTGGCGTTTTTTAATGCCAAAACGTGTCTCTCCTGAATGTGCAATTGATGTTTTTTTTTCTGCCTTTAAGTGTCTGTAAATGCCTATATGTGCTTGGCCACATAGGCAAACATGGAGGGGATTTAGAGACAAAAAAATAAATAAAACACATGATACCCGGTGCAAGTAGTACAACTGGTGAGATCATATCTGCCTGCTGAATACAGACATGACCAGCACAGCTTCCCAGCCCCCTCAATCAGAACTAAGCAGAATGTTTCTCTGCTTGAAGTTCCAGAATACAGCAGCTAAAATACCCTTTAATACACCTCTTCCCCATGGAAAGTATTATAATTCTACTTCACCTTGCCTACATTGACCTATAAAAAATAATATTCAACTGCTGTAAAGGTTTTTTTCTTTTGGTTCTGGTTGTTTTTCCTGTTATACAGAAATTCACATACAAAGTTCCTCACGCATTGATCAGCCATATCTTTATGGCCACACACCTAATATTGAGTAGGTCTCCCTTTTTCTGCCAAAACGGCCCTGACTTGTCAAGGCATGGGTGCAACTATAACTCTAAAGCCGTCAGTAGTAGATCCTTTAACTCCTGTACGTTGCGAGGTGGGACCTCCATAGATTGGACTCATTTTTCTAGTATATACCTTAATGCTCCATTGGATTGAGATCTGGAGACTTTGGAGCTCAAGTCAATACAGTGTGGCAGGGCACATTATCCTGCCGAAAGAGGCCACTGCCATTAAGGAAGACTGCTTCCATGAAGGGGTGCGTTTGGTCAACAACGATATTTAGGTAAGGTTGCATGTCTCAAAGTAACATCCGCATGAATGGCAGGACCAAAGTTTCCTAGCACAACATTGCACAAAGGATTAGACTGCATCCGCCAGCTTGCATTCTTCCCAATACTGTGTCCTGCAGCTCTTTCCCAGGTAAGCAACACACATGCACACGGCCATCCACATGATGTAAAAGAAAATGTGACTCATCAGACCAGGCCACCTTCTTCCATTGCGCCGTGATCCACTTCTGATGTTCAAGTGGCCATTGTAGGAGCTTTTGGCTGTGGACACGGGTCAGCATGGGCACCCTGTCAGCTATACAGCCCCACACACAATGAACTGTTATACCCATTTTTCTGCTTTCAACACATCAACTTCTGGGACAACATCTTCACTTGCTTCCCAACTTATACCACTGATTTTCAGAAGCCATTGTAACAAGATAACCACTTAACCTGCCAATGGTCATGTAACTATGGCTAATTGGTGTATACTCTTTGCTACTATTTTAGAGAAAGACACTGCAAAGTATATACAATATTGTATATAATGTCTATTGATCTTAAAACAAAACAAAACAAAACAAAAAAAAAAAAAAAGGCCATAATAGCCCTTTCAGAAAATGTAATACCCCAGATTGCTTGCATGGAAAATTTCCCACAGTCAATTACAGCCTGTGCAGATAAAATCACCTTCAATGACATGGCACTTCATATCTATCAACACTAGATCCTCACGGAAGGATTAGTGGCTCCCTGCAGAACTGATTTTATGCCCCACTAACCACAGTTTGTAACTTTGCTAATCAATTGTTTTGTGCAGGGTTAGCGGTGTTTTGGTAGTCATTGTTTCTTGTCCTTGGTATCAATGTGCATAATATCCAATAAAACATTTGCAATAGGAAGATACAATAGCTCAGTTACTTACATACTCGTCCAACAATCAGCAAATTAAATTTAAGAAGAAAATTATAACCGAAGGAGAAGCGGTGCAAAATGACCATCTATTTATCTTTGGGGGCTTTAAAAAGCATCATTAGATACCACTACTAAACTTGGCTTTTCACACCTTACTGGTACAAAAAGGAAGGATGACAAAAGGGCCTTCCCCACTTCATCAGGAACATTTCAGCAGAAGTCTTTGCATCTTCAAACAACAAATACAGCTAATGCTTGCTCTCAGCACAGAAACAGATACGGTGCTCTAACTTAACTGACCTGGTCTTAACACCCCCCCCCCCCTTCCTCTCTCAGGGATGATATCCTGGACTACTGATGTAATGTATTCGCTTCCAAAAGAACACAGAGGTCATAAAGCATCAGTGCTTCAAACTATCTAGCTACCTGGCAGCACTGTTCCTGTCCAGGTAACTGTGGGCATAGACTTTGCACAAGTGTGTTGCCCTAGGAGATGACCTAGAATCACATACCTTTTAAAATCTTTGACTGATGTTTTGAAGGCAGCAATATCACTGGTGTCCATTGATTCTTCTTTGAGTTCTTCCATATTTTCCATATTTCCCTTAGAATCAGGATTCTCTTTGTCCTTCCCACCAATCTGAAGATCTGCCATAAACTCTATACTCTGCTTTAAACTCTGGATTCTCTCCTGTATTGAGCACAGCAGACAAACACAATCATTTCTTTAGGATACAAAAAGCATGAGACTTATAAGCTATGGTTTTTTAAAGTGCATCTAAAATCAAAATGTATTTTTGTCAGAATTTTACTGCTGTATGTGTTCCTGCAGCCGGCCATAGAGAGGTAGTTCTTCCCCCCCCCCATTTAGACCGCAAACTAAATGAAAAAAAAAAAAAAAAAAAAAAAAAAAAAAAAAACCCACAACACTAACAGGTTCCTCCATTTACACAAACAAGGTGGATGGAGAAATCCCCCCTGAACTCAGAGTACGCTGATCAGTGGCTACAGCCACTGATCGTGGAAAGATTCCAGCAATAAAATGAAGCAGTGCTCGTTGAAGAGACTTATCTGGAGGACTGTTGCACATTATTGAGGAACTAATTTCACATTATTTACATAGCAATTTATTTTATCATTATTAATTTATAAATTTATAGTATTACATTACTTAATCTGTAGTTCTACAAAATGGAGTGTATATGGTGTTATACAGCTGTGGCCAAAAGTTTTGAGAATGACACAAATATAAATTTTTACAAAGTCTGCTGCTTCAGTGTTTTTAGATCTTTTTTGTCAAATGTTACTATGGTGTACTAAAGTATAATTAGAATTACAAGCATTTCATAAGTGTCAAAGGCTTTTATTGACAATCACATGAAATTTATGCAAAGAGTCAATATTTGCAGCGTAGACCCTTCTTATTCAAGACCCCTTGCAATTCGCCCTGGCGTGCGGTCAATCAACTTCTGGGCCACATCCTGACTGACGGCAGCCCATTCTTGCATAATCAATGCTTAGAGTTTGTCAGAATTTGTGCGGGTTTATTTTGTTTATCCACCTCGGGGATTGACCACAAGTTCTCAATGGGTTTAAGGTCTGGGGAGTTTCCTGGCCATGGACTCACAATTTCAATGTTTTGTTCCCCAAGCCACTTAGTTATCACTTTTGCCTTATGGCAAGGTGCTCCATCATGCTGGAAAAGGCATTGGTCTTTGATGGTTGAAAGAATTGCTCCTCGGAGGATGCGAGTATGTGCAGGGCAACTGGGGATACTTTTTGTTTCCTCTTTTCAAGTTTCTAATAAATGCTATAATTATTTTATTTTTTATTGAACTTTATTGCTATCACAAGGTGTTAACTTATCCCCAAATGTTCACATTTGGCAGGTAATCTTTATGAAGACACTGAAGGTCTATTATACCTCAATTTCTCCCCTTTCCTCCAAAGCAATTAACTGATCACAGAACTACCCAGTTAGTGGGCTTCCCAGGCTGCATCAGCCAGGGAATGACAGCTCTGAAACTGAAGTGATGAAATCATCATCACTTCAGGTTTTATTCAGTGCAGAGGAAATTGGGGAACGGACATTCCTCGATCTCCTCCAACTCTGCATACTAAATCCAGTGACCTGGGCTCCTGGCAACATTAGGATAACTGTTTTGACATATATAGTACATCCAAAAAGTGAAGTAGTTAAATTACATAAGCAGTAGGTATTTAAAGCTAGCTCTAAGCCACAGATGCACACCTTATGAAAAGTTTGAGACCCAGAATAATTCACAGGTCCTGCAATAGCATATAGAGCCTATACCTGACTAAGGATCTTCATTCCAGAGTTCAGCAGCTTTTTGGCAGCCTTGAAATAAATGGTTCCAGGCTTGTTGTAAATCATGGCATTGTGGCAAATTTGCTTGAAGTTTTCCTATGAAAAAGTTATGAAAAGGTTATAGTCAGTTCATTGGAGTTTGTAGAGCTGTAATAAAGACCAACAAATTACAACTGCTGCCTAAGAGACACATTAGATTTTGGGGCGGTGGTAGGTGTAAAATAGATTTCCAGAAAAATATTCAGTTTTTCTAATAAGGTGCACTTTTGTGTTAATCCACATATCACAACTAACAGCATGCACAGGTATGCGCTTCCGGCTGTCAGACCATGGACAAGTGCCCACTGTTAACCATTAGGGCACACCGTGTCTGACAGTACAGATTCTTTTCAATCAAGAATCGATTGGTGTGGTTCACCATTCATATGAAGTTTATTACAGCTATAACATAGTGAGAACACGCAAGTCGTTAGGTTTGTTTACAAACTGTACAGTTTGTAGATGCCAAGCTAGCCTTGGGACATCAGTCTGACCCTATTAAAATATGCTAATGATCAGATTTTGTTAAAATTGATCTGTTGATTACCCATGATAGCAATATTAAAAACTATGTGATTGTTTTTGTTGCCAAAAGCCTGGTACAGGATATTTTGGCACTGAAAATAAATATGAATTTACAAGAAGTGAAAGCATCAACCTCCCAGCCACTAACAAGAACTTACCACCCTGCAGCTCATTAAAATTAACCCTACACATTGAACCTGGGTTTAATTTACTAAGGGTTTATGCCAATAAACCATTAGGGGCTTTCCTTATAGTCTTCCATGATAATGTAATGCTGGGGTTCAGCAAAGACACCATACTGGTATTTGGCTTAGAAAATCAGCTAATCTGAAAAGTGGCAACTTATATGTTACTAAACCCACAACGGTAAAATCAGTCTGTATATGCAGTAAAGCATGCTTGTTATTCTCCCTGTGGAACGCAAGGGGTTAATCCTTGGCATTGTGTAAAAATGCTGTTTGATCCTGACTTCTCTGATCCTCCCCTCTTATCTTCTGTTAAGACATATCGTGAGGAGACACTGCACATGCTCAATTTGGTGTGTATAACTAGAGAGGTTTTTTTTTTTCTTGGGAGAGTGTATGTGATCAGCACAGGGCCCATCAACACTGCCCAGACAGAGGTCAGGGGTTCTGCATCCTCCTAGAGAAAACGCCTCCTACAAGCTTTAACCAGTGCTTTGCTGAACACTGATATAAGTCACAAGACTAACTGCTGATGAGAAAAGATATTTAGAAGTTTATATTTACTAAAGTATTTGCATTCCATGTTCTGTGTAGTGTGGGAGACCAGATATAGTGAATACAGGGTTCTGGGTTTAGTAATACTTCAATTAAATGATATCAACTGTTCTATTATAAGAAAATATATACTTTTTGTGTGTAGATCACAATCCTTATTGAGTGGAAGCTTTTCATGACAATCACCTATAAATATTCTGACCTTTCCGTACCTTAAGTTCTTCTATTGAATCGTACGCGTTGTTCTTAATCTTTTCCTTTATTGTGCTGAAGTCCATGGGGTGTTTAATAATCATTGAGTAACCAGGAGCGATAAAATCTGTAACGGGGAATGCAAAAAAAGAGCTGGGGTCCTTTCTGTGTAAATGAAAAAAAAATAAAATTTAAATAGATATACCATATATAGACTTTTCCTATGTTTAATACAAAAATAAAAGACACTGTAAAAGTGCATTAAACAAAATAAGCCAGCATTAAAGTACTGTAGTATAATCAGTAAATAATTAATTCTGACTACCTGCTTTATGTGTTACTGGATTTTGCACACTGATGTCTACCTTCCTAAATAACGTTCGTGGGACTATATAAAGTTTTTTGTTTTTTTCTGTGTTAAAGTGTAGCAAGTAACCCATAGGGTCTGAGCCGAGGTCCACTGACGTCAATTTTAGATTTACATTCTTAACTCCTTTCAAAAACTGATGAAGCACAGGGCATTGCCAAAAAATATGCAGAAGCATACCTGGCTATTTGTGACATCTCCACACATCTTAGAAACTTGAGGGTTGGAATTTATGCAGAAGTACTAGGACCACATGCTATATTAAATTGTAGCTTGTATCCCTGTTCTTGGAAGCTGTTTGCAATAGAATATTTATGGGATAATCAAATGAGCCTTCCTGTTAACCTGACTGGGCTGTGATGTGGAATGGTAGAAAAAAGGCCTGTATCTGGTCTCATCTAATGTAAACACAAACCCTCCCCATGGAGCATAGCTCAACCTGGGCTGTGAACACCATCTCCCTAACCAGAAGGGAGGAGGGAATGGCAATGGGTGGCTTTACACTCACAAGGGAATCACCCTGTGGGACATCATCTGCACACCCTATAAAGGGGGAGAGGGGTTCTCTTTGTTCATAAAGGGTCATTAACTAGCACTCAGGGGATGGCAGAAGACTGTTTGGAGCAATGCAGGTGCATTCTAAAACGTACATTGGGCCCCCAGGCTCGGCAGATCTGTCACTGAACCATCAAACCACGTATATATGGCACAGATCTCATCCCTGAGGAGTGGGAGTCCAGGGTGGCTCACAGCAAAAATGCGTCTGTAGTATTGCCTGAGCTGTATAAAGTATATATTGTAGGGATGTTCAATCACACAAACTGGTCTTTTCAGCCCCATTAATATGGTGCAGTAAAACGTTAAACTGACAGCTTCTTCATAGCCAGGTACAGAGAATAGTGGCTAACCTAGGAGCTTTGACCATCAACGTGAGGTCAACTGTTCTTACTGCATTTTTAAAGAGATAAAGCATGTTAAAAGATGGATGAACTATAAAAGATGTATTAAATATATTATTGGTTTTATTTTACCCTGACATGCCTTAAATAATTTGCAAGAACTGCTTCCAAAGATGAAAGCAATGACCATGATTTATAACCCAGTGCATATCTTATTTCTCAAGGCATTTGCAATCATTTTTTATTCTGTGAGAATTGCACTCATGTTGGATTCAGAAGGCTAACAACAAAGCAAGGCATATGTGCCTTAAGAGGCATATGTATTCTTGAATGTGTGCTCTGTGCATTTCTTCCAGATCTGTGCAGTAATCCAGTGTCAAACCCAATTAGTGCACAGATATCTTTGTGCCTGAACCTCCTGTATAGAATGCCAGTCTGCTGTTCTCTGTACTTGTGCGGGATGATTGATCTTGTATGTGCCCCTCTGTAGCATTCTGTACTGAGAGAAACTGTTGGGTACCACCCATAGCTCTGTACTCTTTTACAAGCTTTCTGGGTTTGCAAATACATTGCATAAACACAGAGTGGATTTATATCCATTCGTGGCTATTTCACAATTTGTTAAATCAACATTTGTGTGCTTAGAGTTCAGCTTCAAAGAGTGGCAAGTCAAGCCCCTTGTGTTAGTATAAGCATTGATCACATGCTACACATAAAATTCTCTCTTGCAAACATCTAAATCAAAAACATTTCACTGTGAGAAAAAGGCAAAACATTTGTGTTAGCAATTCTTTACTCTGTCACCTCGTCCAACCAGGTATATACGGTATATCCAGTATTGCTAAAGTCCAGCTTGGATCCTCAGGCCATGTTACAAATTATGGACTTCAAAGTGAACCAGTTACTTTGCCCATTCAACACAGATCTGTAAGTGACACCTCATGTTATCATTCAGTGTTGAATAAAATGGACAACATTCAAACGAATGGGCTGCCATGCCACGGCCTGCAAAATGGCACTAATGTGAACCGAGCCTGAAACCAACATGGGAAGAATTTATGTTTTCACTCAAGATCCACACATTTTTCTAATTTTATTCAATATGAATATGATAATCTCATGTAACACCCAGTTTAAGAAGGCCTGTTGTCTTTATGCCATGCTCTGTGTCATTTTGTAACAATATTACAAGCACACTAGTGAATTTGCTACTTCTGACCACTAGAGGGTATAAGCTAACAAAAAAAAAATGTTCCATTAGATGTACCATTCTTTTGGGCATATACATTTAGAATAAACATTGTATCCATGCTAAAATGTAGCAGCAGTGTCCTTGCAAATATTGTCTCCACTACACTAATAGTAGATAAATAAGAATAGGTTTTTTGGAACATCTTACCTTTGAAGTTGCCTGACAAGCTGATTCAAAGCTTCTTGCAGTGGAGTCTGATCTTCTACATGGAAAAAAAGTAATACACCTTAAATCTAAGGTCTGAGGCTCCAGTATAGTTGCTTTAAAATTTTACCTAAAGATCATACTTATATTCTTTTCTATGCATTTATATATTAGCAATTAGAATCTGTGTTCATCACTAAAACATCAAAAGATCGAACTAGGAATAACTAGTCTACACTCACCACTAAACAGGGTGAATGGGGAGTACTATATGGTTGTGAATGATGCTGTTATGCGAGTGGTCCAGCTGTCAGCAGAACTATGTAAAAGGGTAACCTTTTCTAGGGCAAAATGTGACCGTATTGTTACAATGGGTCTGACATTTATGGCCTTATTTAGATTTTTATGTATGCTTTAGTCACAGGGCACACTGTTATGAACAAAAAAAATGGATGTTTGACATACACATTTTTTTCCTTTATTTCCACCTGGTAATCCTGCGAATAACACTTCCTGTTCTTGGGTTGCTACGCTCATATTTCCACTGAATATATAAGGGAAGCCACTTCTGTTTAAATTCCAGCCTGGAAAACAGGTCTCTCTCTCTTCATCTCCATTAGATGGGGTGGGGATTAGAGGTTTACAAAAGAACATCAACAATGTATCTTTAGTCACACAGGAAGTAAGATGGTACCTGCTGAAAATGTTAGCCTGAAAAGTGAAACGTAACATGTTCCAAAAGGTGAACTTAAAGGATAAGTTTAACAAACCCCTTCTTAGGGACCGTGGAAGCTACCAGCTGGCTGTACAACTGCCACAACATTATCATCTGATGGTCAAAATCAGACTCACTTGATCCACTGATATACAACTGTATAAAACATTTTCAGACTTTACGGGTGGCAGTAATCGTATGATTCTGTGGGTTGTTCTTTACCTTCTGGCTTTACAATGGAAGAATCCTGAACAGATACTGCTGGTAAATCAGGTCTAAGTGATGAATGGAGTGAATGTTCATGATCAGGGTCACTTTCACGATGACTTTTGTCTTTCTTCTTCTTTTCATCCTAGGAACACGATTTCGGAATCAAAAAAGACATCATAATTGAAAATTATTTAACACTTTTTTTCTTTTTTAGATTTTGCAACAACATGGATATTAATTTGATCTAACTGCACAAAGTACAGTTCCAACTGGATGCCTAAGACTCATGCTCAAAACAGATGCAGAATAATAACAAATTTACACTATGTTAAGGAATGAGTACAGTGTTAAAATGCCTTTGGTACATTTTGGTAGATCAAGCCAATCTTAAAACAAAAAACTTTTCATTCTTTCCTTGCCTAGATCATTTATGGCAGTTTTGGTATACAGCCAGTACAAGCTGTCTTCAAATACAGAGATCCTCGTAAGAGGTTCCATAAAAAGGAAAGTATCCTGGGTATCCTTATCACTGCCTGTTAAACACCCTCTGTACACCCTGTATAATAGCCTTTAAAAAGGTAGAACGGTAACCAGGATATGGACATTGACATATTCTTAATCAAATACTGTGAGCTCTATAACAAATCTCAGGGCTCTGTAACTGGAGACACTGTCGATTAATTCATCCACGGAGTTCACAAGAGAAGCTAAAGTGTGGTCTCAGCACTCTGAAACCTTCCCTCTTCCTGTGCATCTGCTCTGCATTTACACTGGAGATTAGAAAGCTGGCAGGCCCATTACTGATACCCCATAGTGAAATCATACCCACCTTTTTCTTCTTTTTTTCCTCACCCGGCCCAAGTGTTTTCTCATTTTTCTTCTTTTTTCTTCTTCTTTTTGTCTCTGTGTTTATCATGGTCTGCCTTGTCTTCATGGAAGCTATGTGAAATAGCTGAAGCCCGGGCTGTGGACAGCTCCTTCACTTCTCCAGTCCCAACTTTTAAGACAAGTTTTAATGGTTTTTCCACATACTCTGAGAAGAAAGCATGCCACTGTTTAGACACTAAGGCCTCATGTACAATGGACTTTATAAAAATGCCAGCAGCATTAACTGTAGAATGCCGCAAAGCAGCAAAGTGTTTTGTCGCACTTTTTAGCATTTTTTGCATTAGCGTTTTTCAGCATTTGCATTTTTTTTTTTAGCAAAACTATACTCCCACAAAAGCTTGAGGCTCAAAAACGCTCATTAACACCAGATAACTGTGGGTTTTTGTAGCGGTTTTCTGCGTTAGAGCTTTTTTACAGCTTAAAAAATCCTCTTAAAATGAGGTAGTTCTGTTTTTTTACTGCCTGAAAACCCCCCTGCCAATAAATGCTGATAAAAGCAGATGGGGTTGATTTACTAAAGGCAAATAGACTGTGCACTTTGCAAGGTGCAGTTGCTACAGAGCTTAGTAAATTAGGTAAATTTTTACCGTGCAAAGAATACCCAATCACATGCAAGGAAAAATTAAAAAAACAGCATTTTTGTGTGCACATGATTGGATGATAGAAGTCAGCAGAGCTTCTGCTCATTTACTAGCCTCTGGAGCAACTGCTCTTGCAGAGTGCAATTGCACTTTGTAAAGTGCACAGTCTATTTGCCTTTAGTAAATGAATCCCTATGTGTGCATGACCAATATGCTGGGGAGTTTACTGGCTGTAGGAAAAAATGTCCGATGCCTAAAACAGCAACTGTAAAAATTCCCAGTGTGCATGAGGTGTGACTTTGAAAGCCAGCAATTAGCACAGATGTAACACTGCAAACTACAATATATAACTAATGTATAACAACTGTTAAAGGGAGGCAACAAAAGCATAAAAGCTGGACCATATAAAAAAAATGACAACTCATTTGCAGATGATCAGATTCTAGATTCTTAGTAGGATGAGGAGAAACTAGATGAACCCTGAGTGTAGAACAAATAGCTTGCAAACAAAAGTGAAACTACCTCTTAATATGTTTTCAGTACTTTATAAATACATTACAATTTACACCAACATGTTTTCCTTACTTTTGTCTTTTTTCTTCTCTGAATGTCCTGCTTGTCCCCCTTTGCCTGTAATAAAAAGTATATATTTTATTTATCATCAGTTGGATGTCTGTATTTGTATTCCTCAAAAAAACAGACCCTTCCTGAGGGCCTTACATTGGCCATACACGCGTATATGTGGTTGTCCAATAACGAGTGTGAATGTGTTTACAAGCCTTTGGCAAGTGTTTTCATACCATTACAACAACACAAACAATGTACAATAGTACTGCCTGTACAAAAGCAGAGAGATCACCACAAAGGCCACGAAGGAAACACAAAATGACAGATTCCATTCCTCCCCTACTGTGTCCCATTACTGAGATATACAGTGGGGATCGAAAGTTTGGGCACCCCAGCTAAAAATTTGTATTAATGTGCATAAGGAAGCCAAGGAAAGATGGAAAAATCTCCAAAAGGCATCAAATTACAGATTAGACATTCTTATAATATGTCAACAAAAGTTAGATTTTATTTCCATCATTTACACTTTCAAAATAACATAAAACAAAAAAAATGGCGTCTGCAAAAGTTTGGACACCCTGCAGAGTTAATATCTTGTACTGCCCCCTTTGGCAAGTATCACAGCTTGTAAATGCTTTTTGTAGCCAGCCAAGAGTCTTTCAATTCTTGTTTGAGGTATCTTTGCCCATTCTTCCTTACAAAAGTCTTCCAGTTCTTTGAGATTTCTGGGCTGTCTGTCACGCGCTGCTCTTTTAAGGTCTATCCATAGATTTTCAATTATTTTGAGGTCAGGAGATTGTGAAGGCCATGGCAAAACCTTCAGTTTACGCCTCTTGATGTAATCCCCCGTGGATTTCGAGGTGTGTTTAGGATCATTACCCGTTTGTAGAAGCCATCCTCTCTTTAACTTCAGCTTTTTCACAGATGGCATCAAGTTACCATCCAAACTTTGCTGAAATTTTATTGAATCCATTTTTCCTTCTACTCGTGAGATGTTCCCTGTGCCACTGGCTGCAACACAACCCCAAAGCATGATTGATCCAACCCCATGCTTAACAGTTGGACAGAGGTTCTTTTCATTAAATTCTGTGACCCTTCTTCTCCAAACGTACCTTTGCTCATTCCGGCCAAAAAGTTCAATTTTAACCTCATTGGTCCACAGAACTTGTTTCCAAAATGCATCAGGTTTGTCTATATGTTCATTTGCAAAATTCAAACGATGATTTTTTTGTGGTGAGGACATAGAAGAGGTTTTCTTCTGATGACTCTTCCATGAAGACCATATTTGTACAAGTATCTCTTTATAGTGGAATAGTGTACCACAACTCCAGTGTCTGCCAGATCTTTCTGGAGGGATCGTGCAGTCAAACGTGGGTTTTGAATTGTTTTTCTCACAATCCTGCGAGCTGTTCTGTCTGATAATTTTCTTGGTCTTCCAGATCTTGCTTTGACTTCCACTGTTCCTGATGACTGCCATTTCTTAATTACATTCCGAACAGAGGATATTGACATCTGAAAACGCTTTGCTATCTTCTTATAGCCTTCTCCAGCTTTGTGAGCGTCAACTATTTTCAGTTTCAGTTTTCTAGACAACTGCTTAGAAGAACCCATGGTGCTGATTGTTGGGGCAAGGTCAGATGAGTCTGGGCATTTCAAACCTTTGAGATTGACATCACCTCGTCTTCCCAGATGATGATTGAGAACAATCCATGACACTGGCAGGTCTCAGCTTGGCAAGGGGGCAGTGCATGCTATAAATTCTGCAGGGTGCCCAAACTTTTGCAGATGCCATTTTTTGGTTTTCTGTTATTTTGAAAGTGTAAATGATGGAAATAAAATCTAACTTTTGTTGACATATTATAAGAATGTCTAATCTGTAATTTGATGCCTTTTGGAGATTTTTCCATCTTTCCTTGGCTTCTTTATGCACATTAATACAAATTTTTAGCTGGGGTGCCCAAATGTTCGATCCCCACTGTGTGTATATATATATATATATATATATATATATATATATATATATATATATATATATATATACACACACACACACATACATATATATATATATATATATATATACACACACACACACACACACTCACATACAGTTAGGTCCATATTTAGTTGGACACAGGCACAAATTTAGTTTTTTTTCAGATATTTACCAAAACATATCCAAGCTATAATTGTATAATGGATATGGGCTGAAAGTGCACACAATCAGGTATAATTTGAGGGTATGTACATCCAAATTGGAGGAAGGGTTTAGGAATTACAGCTCTTAAGATTAGCAACCCCCCCCCCCCTTTTTCAAGGAAAAAAACATAATTGGACAATTGAATCAAAAGCTGCTTCATGGCCAGGTGTGGGCTACTCCATTACTTCTTCAACAATTAAGCAGTTAAAAGGTCTGGAGTTGATTCTAAGTGTGGTATTTGCATTTGGAATCTATTGTTGTGAACCTACATCATGCATTCAAAACAGCTGTCCATGTAAGTGAAACAGGCCATTGTAAGGCTTCAAAGCATCAGAAAGGAGGAAACACAATCTTTGGTATTGTCCATGGGTTGCAGACTTCAGGAATTCATTGCCTGTAATGGATTCTCAAAAAATATTAAAAATGGACATTTTATTTGATTATATTCAATTGTCCAATTACTTTTGGTCCCTTGAAAAAGGGGGATGGCTAATCTTAAGAGCTGTAATTCCTCAACCCTTCTTCCAATTTGGAGGATCATACCCTCAAATTAAACCCGATTTGGTAAATCCCTGAAAAAAAAACTAAAATTGTGCCTGTGTCCAAATATATATGGTCCCAACTGTAAAATCATTTTATATATTATATATATATATATATATATATATATATATATATATATATATATATATATATATATATAATACACACACACACACACACACACACACACACACACATACATATACACACTTATTATATCTTTATCTATCTATATCTCCCCTACAGGGCAGAGCTTTCCTTTTCCTGGCTCTCCCATACCCAAATCCTATAACTTTCTGTTGCATCACTGGAACAGGAAAGCAAAGGAAAATTTCCCCAATGCTAAGCAGACAGCGAAAAATAAACTGACAGAGGTTTTAAAACTGAACTCCAGTGAAAGCAAAAAAAGTCCTTCCTTGCAGTGTAACTGTTCCCACAATTCAGGGGTTAAATGCTTGGTTAGCTATAGGGGGTCCTGGAGAAAGAACTTTTATTTACCCAATTGCCACTGCTGCAGTCCCCTCCATGCAGATAGACCAGTCTCTGCAGCCACTTCTCCCCTGTGCTCCAGCAGTGGCAGGTCCCCTGACTTCATCAAGTACAATTCAGAACACATAGCCCTGCAATGGATGTGGGGATGCTTATTTTCACCTGGTGGTCCTTATTGTTCAACTTCCTTTAACAGACTAAGCTGTCCAGCAAATGCGGCTGCTAGAGGGTTGAGACAAATGATTTAAAGAGGAACTAAACCATGGGTGCTCAACCTGGGGCCCTCCAGCTGTTGTGAAACTACATGAGGCATTGCAAGCTGTTGACATTTACAAGCATGACTCCCAAAGACAGAGGCATGATGAGAGTTATAGTTCCACAACATCTGGAGGGCCACAGGTTGAGCACCCATGAACTAAACCCTCCTAACTTTTACAGCACAAAAAGCTTCCATCTTAACCTCTGTTTGATGTGTAGTTGCCATGGTGCAGCACGAGCAATCATTTGATGACTTTGCAGTTTGGATGAGAGCACAAGCAACTGTGACAATTATCCATGGCAGACCTTGAATTTACCTGTTTTGGGAAAGTTAAATCGATGCATTTACCCTCTTTTGGGTGCTGGTCTTTGGCCTTCCTAATTGGCTGCTGTGGGATGTAACTCCGGCACATGCATGGGTATTATTCATCCTGGCACTCTAGCAGAAAAGTCAGCAGAGAATTGCCAACAAGCAGGTACGTTTATTGTTTCTCAATGAATTCTGAACACAAAGTTTCCTTTGACTGGCTGAGGCAGAGATAATGACATCATCCACCCACTGCAGCCAATCAGAGGAAGCTTAGTATTCATACTGAGAATACAAAGCAGCCTATGAATGGATGAGTGCTGCTCAGCCTGACTCAATTTTGTTCTGGATGCGGGATGAGAAGTTTGTGCTACACGGCTGAACACAGTCAGAGTGCTGTATACGGTGTGTAGCTGAGGCTACATACAGTATATACAGTGCACCCAGGGGGCTCACCTGTTGAAAATAGTGTTGAAAATAGTCTGTTTGGCCAGCTTGGTCCACACTAATTCAAGTGACAGAAAAACTGGAGATCAATGTTAATCTGTAAGGGCTCATGTACACTGCACCCTAATGTTTTCCTATGTGTCCATGTACACTGCAGCTGATAAACTCACCCCTGAACGCACCCTAATGTTTTCCTGTGTCCATGTACACTGCAGCTGATAAACTCATGTTTAGGAGCCGTTCAGCGGTTTTTTTCTGCAGCACCTGAACTCACCCTAATGTTTTCCTATGTGTCCATGTACACATCTTCGTTTACAGGCAGTTGAGTTTACAGTTGATTTTTTGAACGCCATAAACTTGCGTTCAGACGTCGATTTTATCAGCGCTTCAATTTTTTTTTTTTAACTCTTCCAGTTCCCGACGCTGTCCAGAACATTTTTTCATCATGAAAAATGCATGCAAAGCAAAGCATTTTCAAGGTGCTCAGATGGACAAAACACTGTACACAGGATGTTCCTACTAAGCTTGTCACACACAGTAATGACCAATCAGACCTCTCCCACCCTTGGAAACAAAAGATATGTTACTGACCATTCACACCTCAAATTCCTCATGAAGACCCCCTGCCGGGTGGCCTTAATGACTCACTCCACAGACACCTTTCCCACCCAAAATTTAAAACAAAATGGCGTGGGGGTCCTCCACAAAATCCATACCAGACCCTTTTCAGAGCATGCAGCCTGGCAGGTCAGGAAGGGGGGGGGGGGGGGGGGCAAACAATGCTTTTTTTTTAGTTTCTTAAAAGAAACAACATTTCCGTTAACTTTGGGTAAAGTGACAGCTAATTCTGTGAGCTATAGTGAAGAAGAAAAAAAAAAAAAAAGCCAGCAATTGCATTTAAAAATCAGCACTGACATATACTTTGTATTGCAAAAAAAATTCATACAAAATTTGTATAAGCCGAGGCATTATTTTCAGTGGATTTTCATTTGTAAACCGAAAATGACTTTAACCGAGGCGTTCTTAAAGCGAGGTATTAATGTATATGTGAACCCTCACCTTTAAAACAACCCATTCCGTTTAAAACAGAAATGAAAGGCAAAACATTTGTGCATAGATATAAAAAAAAATTATATAACACCTTTTATGCCCTTTATTTTACTTTATTTCAGCACCGTCAATTTACGCAGAGCTTTTACACATATATATATATTGTACATTCACATCAGTCCCTAACCCTCAAGGGATATACAAGCTAAGGTCCCTAACTCACATTCATATACAAGGGCCAATTTAGACAGGATCCAATTAGCCTACCAGCATGTCTTTGGAATGTGGCAGGAAACCGGAGTACCCGGAGGAAACCCACGCAGGCACAGGGAGAACATGCAAACTCCAGGCAGGAGGTGCCGTGGCTGGGATTTGAACCAACGACCCTAGTACTGCCAGGCAGAAGTGCTAACCATTTAGCCACTGTGCTGCCATGTTTTATGTGATCACATTCCATCTGTTCTCGGTTGCATAAGAGCTAGGGGAGGAGAAACAGCAACACACTGATCTTCCCAGTGAATGGCTGCGCAGGAGGGTGTGGGTGTCAGGACAAGTCTGATCATTGGAGAGCAGGCAGAGTTCCCAGCACACCTAGAGAACTGACTATGGTGTGCTCTCCTGCCTAGTGTGGTCAGTTTTTAATGGAAAAGCAGAGGGACTGGCGCGAACACCAAGAATTTTGCAAACAAAAGGAATACAAAGAGAACCGGATCCTTTTTCCTATAAGTACATGGTACAGCAGGCACATATCAGGAATATGAAATGTTGGGTTTACATATTCTTTACCAAGGCTTTCCATAGGTGTCTCCATTGCTTCTCCATCCAGTGTGAAGACAACCCAAGACAGGAAGTGTGTTATTGGCAGGATCAATGGGTGAAAAGGGAATAAAGGCCTGGGGTACTCTGGAGGAAGGATCAGGTTAGGCATGGAGCGTCAGTAGTGGGTTTTCTTCAGCTCTGGTGTAAGCTGTGCAGTATGATGGCTGTTTCTCGACCCCCAGCCTGTACACATGTAGTAGTGTGCCCGGCAATCTCCAGTGGAGGAAGGAGGCATGTTGTCCTACATTCTGAATGACTGACCCCTCCCCCACAGCACAGCATGCTGGGACTTGTAGTTCCCCATCCAATAGCAGCACACAGACTCTCATTAACAACTCACGGCTCTCCGCCGCCTTCTCGTCTTTCCCCTCATAGCCGTGCTTGTCGCCTTTGTGCTTCTTATGCTTCTTCCCCATGTCGCCTACAGCTCCTTTCAAGATCTTCTTCCGTATTCCTGTAATGACGTCACGCCGCCGGACCGACAATTCCTTTTGTTGTTGTTGCGGTTCCATGGCAGAAACCATAGAGACGTACATGGGAGCTGGCAAACGGCACGGGGCGCCAATAATTCACACGAACAGCTGCTGCTGCTCTCGCGCGCCCTGCCGAGGAGACCGAAGAAGCGCTGGAGGAGAGATTCCCACCAATCGGGAGGCACCGCTTTGCACAGTAGTGTAGAGGATGCAGAGCGCAAATCGCTACTAGAGTGCAACAAATCACTCGCCCCGATGCGCGTCCCCGAGGCCTGTGGGCAGTAGTGCGCATGTGTAGACTAGGCTAACGTGTGGTGCTGAGCAAGAGCTGATTAGGGGGAGGAGAGCAACGTGACGTCATGTAAAGCTGTAGGAGTGATTGGTCAGGCGGTAATGTTCTGTACTGAATGGTGTAGTATTTTGTAGTATATGGACTCGCGGAGAGCACGAACTGCTACATGCAGGGCAACTGGAATCTCACCGATGTCATTGTGTATAAGGGGAAGCACAACTACACCCTCCTTTACAGCCAAGGATGATGCCATCTTAGCATGGCTTTGGTCTCCAACTGCCATGGTGCTGCACACGTGGTCCGCTATGAATCCAGCTGTGATGGTTTGACAGTTTAGCTGCGAACAAATGTGACATTGTTCCGGTAACTGTGAAACGATCAAATTGATGGCTTTAGTTCCTCTTCAAGCCCTTTAATGTACAGAATAGCTCCAGATACCGGCTGTTACTTCATCAGTCAGTCTTTTCTGTTCCATTCTTGGTTTAACCACCTGACCTGAGAATTTACTCCCCATCCCCCCTCTTTTACCAGGCCTTATTTTTCTACTCGATGCTGCACTATTTCAACTGGTAATTGCGCAGTCATGCAATGCTGTACCCAAATGAAATGTATGTCCTTTCTTTCGGTGGTATTTGATCACCTGTGCACTCTATAAGCAAAAAAAGACCGAAAATGTTGAAAAAAAAAACTATTTTACTTTTGGCTATAAAAATATATAGTAAACTCAAAGTTAGTCATAAATTTAGGCTAAAATGTATTCTGCTAGTTTAACCGACAATTGAGCGGTCATGCAACGCTGTACCCAAACCCAAATGTATGTTCTGTCTTTCACACAGATAGAGCTTTCTTTTGGTGGTATTTGATCACCAGTGCGCTTTTTTACTATTAAACAAAAAAAGACCAACAATTTCGAAAAAAACCCCGATATTTTTTACTTTTGGCTATAAAAAAATACATAGTAAACTCAAGGTTAGTCATAAATTTAGGCCAAAATGTATTCTGCTACATGTCTTTAATAAAAAAAAAGCCCAATAAGTGTATATTGATTGCTTTGTGTGAAAGTTATAGCGTCTACAAACTATGGTATAGATACTGCAATTTACACCATTTTTTGCTATACAGTGCTCCATTAGTTTAACTGACAATTGTGCGGTCATGCAATTCTGTGCATAAATATAATTTATGTCCTTTTTTCACACAAATAGAGCTTTTTTTGGTGGTATTTGATTACCTTTGGGTTTTTTTTTTTGTGCTATAAACAAAAAAAGTAAGAAAATAAATAAAATAAATTTAGGCCAACTTCTGCTACAAGTTTTTGGGTAAAAAATCTCTAATAAGTGTATATTGACTATCACATTTCTTGAGGTGCTAAAATACCAGGACAGTACAAACACCGCCAAATGACCCCTTTTCTAAAAGTAGACACCCTAAGCTATCTGCTGAGAGGCATTTTGAGTCCATGGAAGATTTATTTTTTTTAAAGTTTTTGCAAAATGACAAAAACTTTTTTTTTTTTTTTTTACATAAAGGTGTCACTTAAGTGATATATTGATCACACAAGCCATGGGTATACAGTTGCAAGAAAAAGTATGTGAACCCCTTGGGATTACGTGGAGTTTTGCATGAATTGGGCATAAAATGTGCTCTGAACGTCATCTAAGTCACAACAATAGAAGAACACAGTCTGCTGAACGTAATACTACACAAACATTAGATGTTGCCATGGTTTAATTGCACATAACATGTAAACATTCACAGTGCAGGGAGGAAAAAGTATGTGAACCTTTGGACTTAATAACTGGTTGACCCTCCTTTAGCAACAATAACCTCAACCAAACGTTTCCTGTAGTTGCAGATCAGACCTGCACAACGATCTGGAGTAATTTTGGACCACTCCTCTTCACAAAACTGATTCAGTGTAGCAATATTCTTGGGATGTCTGGTGTGAATCGCTCTCTTAAGGTCATGCCACAGCATTTCAATCGGGTTGAGGTCAGGACTCTTACTGGGCCACTCCAGAAGATGTATTCTGTGCTGTTGCAGCCATTGTTTTGTTGAATTACTTGTATGCTTTGGATCATTGTCCTGTTGCATCACCCATCCTCTGCGGAGCTTCAGTTGGCGGACAGATGGTCGTATGTTTTCCTGCAAAATGTCTTGATAAACTCTGGAATTCATTTTCCCATCAATGACAACAATCCGTCCAGGCCCTGAGGCAGCAAAGCAGCCCCAAACCATGATGCTCCCTCCGCGATGTTTTACAGTGGGGATGAGGTTTTGATGTTGGTGTGCTGTGCCTTTTTTTCTCCACACATAGTGTTGTGTGTTCTTCCCAAACAACTCAATCTTGGTTTCATCTGTCCACAGTATATTTTGCCGGTAGTGCTGTGGAACATCCAGGTGCTCTTTTGCAAACTTCAAACGTGCTGCAATATTCTTTTTGGACAGCAATGGCTTCCTCCGTGGTGTCCTCCCATGTACTCCATTCTTGTTTAATGTTTTCCTTATTGTAGATGTGTCAACAAAAATGTTAGCATGTGCCAGAGATTTCTGTAGGTCTTTAGCTGACACTCTGGGATTCTTCTTTACCTCATGCAGCATTCTGCGCTGTGCTCTTGCAGTCATTTTTACAGGACGACCACACCTAGGGAGAGTAGCAACAGTGCTAAACTTTCTCCATTTGTAGACAGTCTGTCTTACCGTGGACACATGAACATCAAGGCTTTTGGAGATACTTTTGTAACCCTTTCCAGCTTCATGCAAGTCAACAATTCTTGATCGTAGGTCTTCTGAGAGCTCTTTTCTGCGAGGCATGGTTCACATCAGACAGTACTGCTTGAAACCAGTAAACCCAAAACAGGTGTGTGTTTTTTAAGGACAGGACAGCTGTCAGCAACACATCCAATATCATCACACTGATTGGAGTCAAGGTTGGCTCACTCCTGGCTCCAATTAGCTCTGGGAGAAGTCATTAAGCTAGGGCTTCACATACGTTTTCCTCCCTGCACTGTGAATGTTTACATGTTATGTGCAATTAAACCATGGCAACATCTAATGTTTGTGTAGTATTATGTTCAGCAGACTGTGTTCTTCTATTGTTGTGACTTAGATGACGTTCAGAGCACATTTTATGCCCAATTCATGCAAAACTCCACGTAATTCCAAGGGGTTCACATACTTTTTCTTGCACCTGTATGTGGAATTACACCCCAAAATATATTCTGCTACTTCTACTGAGTATGGGGATACCACATGTGTGAGACTTTTTGGGAGCCTAGCCACATACAGGAGCCTGAAATCCAATGATCACTTTGAAAGCCTGAAGGTGCGTAGCTTCCACAATTCATGTCCTCACTACCTATCACAGTTTCGTAGGCCTGAAATGCCAGGATAGCAACAAACCCCCCCAAATGACCCCTTTTTGGGGTGACTTCTCCCTCACATGGATCGCCACACACCACGTCACTTCATCAGAGGTTGTTGAGCTTTATCCAAAGAGTTGGCTGTACTGAAATCGGGTGCCATTTGAGAAGGTCCAGTGGTGATTCATAAGGGGAAGAGTGCACAGAGGAGCAAGTTATGTGCTTCCCCCATTAATAGGGGAGATGCTTTGTTTGACCTGGGTCCACATACAGGTCCATGCGAGAAAGGTGAGAGTCCACCTGGAAGTCTATGTTCACTGTGGTGATTCACATGGTTTGGAGATTTACAGCACTGGGATCTTGGGTGCAATCACCAGCAGGAAGATTTTTCACTTATTTGGATTTTTTTTGAAGAATTGCATTTATTTTTTGTTTCATCATCTTTTTGGGACTATCAGTCACATTTTTGTTTGTATATTTACACGTATGGATTTATGCTAGCAGCGCAACACTTTCATTTGTTTTAATCATCTTGGTATAACCACTCAAAGTCCAGTGATGTACCAGCACGCCGCTGGTCCTTGTTGGGTATATATTCTATGTTCTTTTTATTTTTATGCAGCCTGTGGGCTGAATGAAAAAAAGAAAATAAATCTCTACCAGAAAAAGTGTGTGGTATGCCCACCATTAAAATATACCACCCTGCATCCACCCACTTCTAATGGTGGGCACACAGGAAATGTTGCTTTTTTGTCGTTCAGCCCATGGGCTGAACAAAACAAAAAAGGACCTAACAGATTCCTTTATTCACATCGGTCAATATGGATGAAGAAATCTCTGCCAAAACAATTTTTTAAAAGATATACCGAAGCATAGGAGCTATCCACCTACTGGCCACCCCAGGCCCCCATGCTTCGGCATATATGATCTTTTTTTAACCGCGGATGAAAAATCTCATCCAACAGCACTGCACACACCTTCTTATGTATATTCTGAGAGCAAGACCCTGTTGCTGTTACAATAAACAAGTTGGTGCTGCAGCTGAATGGCATTCCTGCAAAGAAAACCGCAATAGTTAACAATAAAACAGTAACAATAAAACAGTAAAATCATAACAGTAAAACAGTAACAACAATGAAAACAACAAAAAAACAACTATTTTTGGTTTTTTTAAAATTTAAATTTTTTTTTTTAACTTGAACTTAAATCAGATGGTAGGGTCTCTCAAAATGCGATAGCCAGTTTGTTGACTGCCTAACATCTTTCCAGACCCTGTGCAAATATGTACCCTTAACTTTGCCGTGCTGTACCCTATACCAACACTCCTCTAGTGTGTGGTAGCGACGGAAACAGTCCTTGAGGCAGAGACCAGGTTGGTCAGGACAAGAGGGACAAAAAAAGTGGGTGTT